CACACACACACACACACACACACATGCACACAAAAAACACACGCATTGCACGCGTGCGCACGCACAAACACATACATACACACACATGCACGCACGCACACCCGCACGATCACACGTATGCACACACACACACACACACACACACAACACGTATACACACACATGCACACACACAAACACTTACATACACGAACACGCCCACACACACACTCACACACACGCATGCACGCTCACATGCACACACGCACACACATGTACACATACATACACTTACACACACACACACACACACACACACACACACACACACACACACACTCACACACACAAATACACACACACACGCAAACAAACATAGCGTGCGCATACATACACGCTAAAAAAGCCATTGTATCCCAGGGTGCATTCTTGTACAAAACACAAATGCTTCGGCGCGTTTATAATGGAAAACAATATAATATAATGTAATATCATGTAATATAAAATATTGTGATAAAATATAAAACAATTTAATAGAATATGATGTAATGCAATGTATCATAACGTAAAACAACATAATTATAGACTAAACATAAAATAATATATTAATTTCACATCATGTTATAGCAAAGCATAAAATCATCATAGCATAGCATTGTACACTCATATGATAATACATGTAGTATTTTTGTTCTTTTCGTGAAGTTGTTTCAGAATTGCACTTCCGGCGAAATAAAATATTGTACTTCATACGTGAAACATTTTTAGAAACTTATGTATCTCATGCGTGAAATATCAGCTGTATTGGCGTAATATGCGTTAATCACTCTGTGCACCTAATAACCCTTTGATGTGTTTTGATTGCAGCGTTACACATCAAAGTCAGTATCCTATCTATTGAAAAGACACCATGGCAAAGAGATTATCCGAAATTATCGAAGAAAAAGTCTTCATGCTCAATTTCATTTAGCGGGAGAAAAACGAAGATACAAAAAAACAGGAAAAGAAAAAGAAGAAAGAAAACCCCACGTACACGTGTTTTCAACTTGTGTAAGCTATGATAATATTATTCATGGTCCTTTGACCTTTTTTTGGTCCAGGCCTTGTTTAGTGAGCTGATGTCAGCATACTATAAACATTTCTTGAGTAAGATATTATTTATCGTTGTAGATCGTAATTGCATCCTACTTGTGAAATTGGAAGATGTAATCACTCTTTGAAACTCATAATTACAACATGGTAATTTCACCCGTGGGATAAATCCTGACCAATCAGCATAACTCATGAAATAAATATTCTGTAACACACACACACACACACACACACACACACACACACACACACACACACACACACACACACACACACACACACACACACACACACACACACACACACACACACAACACCAATCATATTAAGCTTACCGTCTCCCGGATATATATATATGTGTATGTATTAATATATCTCAGGCCAAGAAATTAAAATATAGCTAAAATATATCTAAAAATTGAAATATATCTATAGATAAAGATAGGCATAATAATAAAATATATATATATAGACACACACGAACACGAAAACACACACACACTCACACACACACACACACACTCACACACACACACACACACACACACACACACACACACACACACACACAAGAAGGCACGCAAGCGCTCGCTCACCCACAAGCACAATGTAGGCCTAACACGCGATGTCAACCACGGGCGTGCACGCGCGCACACCGATAGCCATTTGTGCATGAGTAGATCGTAACCGGACTGCCGCTCGGCTTCCCTTTCCTCTCTCTCGGGATTCTCAATATTATTCGTTTGGGTGACGCCTTTCCTGTTCCCGCGATCAGAGTGACGGAAGATACGATCAACTGGCTAGCCGATCTGTATACAATGGCTTCCCGGCCATTCAGGAAGAGCTCGCCAGTCGAGTGAGTGAGTGAGTGCTTAGCGGAATGTGCAGCTTCTGGTTGTTTTGTAAGTGAGTAGCGATGACGGGGATCATTACTTGACGCGTCAACTGTTGAGCCGGTTGAGGGAATTACACGTCTTTCCAACTGAAAAGGTTTGCACGTCCTGTTTGTTCACTTTTCCTATTGTATTTGTTTTGGCACAAATGATTCACCGTAAATGCTCTATCTATCTATCTATCTATCTATCTATCTATCTATCTATCTATCTATCTATCTATTTGTTTTGTAATCTATTTTTGTATGTATCTTTCCGTCTGTGAGTCTTTATTTTTTTAGAAAAGATTAACACCTTTGAAATGGAAATTGTTATTTTTCATTAATTTATATTTTCTTAGGTTAGCCTTCTGTTATGACTGCCACTTTTATGATGTTCCTTTTTGTAGGTAATAGCATAAGCAATAGTACTGTTGTTTTTTATTCTTTATATCTTTATATATGTTTCTTCGTTTTTGTGATTGGTTATGATGGTGGTGTTGTTGTTGCTGCTGTTGCTGCTGTTGCTGCTGTTGCTGCTGTTGCTGCTGCAGCTGCAGTTATTGTTATCAATGGCTTTATTGTTGTTGTTTTTTTGCTTGTCTTTCAAAATAATTCAAATACATCATTTCGAACGTGTGCTTCATTATTTAAACAGACTGAAGAGAAATTATTACCAACACTTTCACACTCATACACACACACATACACTCACGCACACTCACATACATACATACTCTCTCTCTCTCTCTCTCTCTCTCTCTCTCTCTCTCTCTCTCTCTCTCTCTCTCTCACTCACACAGACCCCCCCCCCACACACACACACATTCACAGACACACACAGACACGCACACATACACACACGTAAACACACATAATACCTTCTTGCTCGAGCAGGCACTATACCTTCCCATGTATA